ATAAACTCAAGGAACGCATGCGGGTGCCCTCGTCCACGGTGACCTTCTCCCAAAATTTGTCCTCAAGGGTTTAGGGTTTAGGGTTTAGGGCTAGGGTTTAGGGTTCGCTGCTTTGGCCACTTGAAGGCCACTCTACATGAGCTCACGGCTCCGGAGTTGGTGTCTGCAAAATTGGGATTTAGGGGGCCTTGGAGTTGGGGTTTGGCGTTGGGGATGTATGGAAGGAGGTTTGGGGCTCAGGGTCTAAACCCTAAACCCTAAACCCTAAACCCTAAAAACCCTATAAACCCTATAAACCCTAAACCCCTGAGCAAGGGGAGCGGGCGCGTAGGATTTAGGGTTCGCATCCGGGCGCCCAAGTTGTCTGCGCCCACTCAGGCGCTCCGCCCTCGGTTTTGGGATTCCTTGCAGTCTGATCGTTGAGGGTTCAGGGATTGTATCCGAAGCCCGAAGTACCCTAAACCCTTAACCCCGAACCTAGAAAGATGCAATGCAAGGAGTGAACGGCATGTGAACCCAAGAGGGCCCCTAACTCCCATATAACTCTCGTCACCACCTCACCTTGGGCATGTCAGGTCCTGCTGCAACGCCGGGTCGTCTACATCGATGCCCGTGGAGTTTGCCATGGCGATGCGGAAGTGTTCCGATTATATACATATATATAGGCATTAAAAATTAACATATATATATATATATATATACCCGGCCCTTTAAGGGAATCATTACTCAGGGTACCTCATCCCCTGCTAGTTGTAGGTTTGTTGGGGTTGAGAGTGCCCAGTTTGCGCACCAGTGCATGGGTCGGCTCGATGGAAGGCTTCCTTGGTGCGCTTAGCCCTATCTGTGCTTCTTGGACCATGGAAGGAAAACATTCAATCAAGGCCAGGGCATTCAAGACATGAAGGACCTCTCATTGCCCGCCTTAGAGTCACCAGAGAGCGGAGGGGTTAGGAGTTAGAGGAGTTTATGGTTCAGGGCTGATGGCACAATGAGGCTCTGAGTGCTGCCTTAATCGAATCTCAGCTCATCCTCGGTCCCGGTCTATGTGCATGCAATCTGAGATGCCTGATCTGGCTTGGCTCAGCTCATGGCAATCTCAGCTACAATCTGCAGTCTGCGTGCATCGGGGCCTGGCGCATGCACCATAGAACAAGATGGGCCACACAGTGTCTGTGCAAGCAGACTTGGGCATCTGAATTCCTAGGCAGCAAGTCTTCGTGCTTGCGAACCTTGCGGGAAAAGTTGGCTTCAACAAGCTATAAAAAACCATGCAAGCAAGCGGGGGCCTCCTGTGGGCCTGCTTCTTTACAGCTTTTGAATTGCACATGTGGCCGCGCGCTTTCGCGCTGACCTTAGGACTTAACAGTGGTATGCTCCTCTGCACACCCGTGCTTTCACCCCCCCCCCCCCCCCCCCCCCCCCCCCCCCCGCAATAAGAGTCGGGTCCCTGAGGAATGTTAGGATTCGCTGTAGGTCTTTTGTGTCTGGGATGTTTGGCTTTAGCGAATGCTGTGAGGGTCCAGCACTTGCAAATTCAGGGCAGAGCTGCGCCACGCAACCCGCAACACCTGGAAACGGAAAAGCAACAAAAACAACACCTACTCCACCCCATTCCATGAGCCCTGAAACTCTGAACCCGAAGCTCTGGGCCCGAGAACCCTGAACCCTAATTATACAATCTGCCCTAAGCTGGAGGACTAAAGCCGAAACCTTGTCTTTCCAGGAGTCGCCCCTCCTTTCCGGGCTTCCACTAATCAAAATGCCTAAGTCCGAACCGCGAGTCCGAGTGTGCAGACGACATTTAGGCAAAGGTTTAGGGTTTAGGGTTTAGGGTTTAGGGTTTAGGGTTTAGGGTTTAGGGTTTAGGGTTTAGGGTTTAGGGTTTAGGGTTTAGGGTTTAGGGTTTAGGGTTTAGGGCTTAGGGCTTATGTGTAGGCTTTCGGGCATGGGGGCCCTTGAAGACCTCCTTCTGAGGCATGGACGCCGGTGGCGCTGTGACTACATCTCGATGACTCCTTCGTCCTTCGCCGGTGGAAGCTCAACCTCAAAAGCGCAGGACTCTGAAGAAATCATGCCAACTCTCGAAATGAGTACCTTTTGGGGGGCGCATGTTGGGTTCGGGCTCACAGGGCTCCTTGCGTTCACAGGGTTCAAAGTTGGGTTCGGCTTCTGGGGTTCAGAGTCTGCACGCCTTAGGGAGGTAATTTAGGTATCATTCGGGTGGGATTAGTTTCGGCATTCTTTCGGATGTTAAAAGGGCTCTTTTTTTCTGGATTGATTGGACATTTTCATGTTGCGCGGCTTGGGGTACAGGTTTGGGGTTTAGTGTCTGGCTAGGGGTCCAGGATTAGAAGTTCAGGGGGAATCCAGCGAGTGTGTAGGACTTGGGGTGTGAGAGAGCTGTTGCTTTGTGCATTTTTCGTCTTCATTGCAGCGCAAAAACTTGCACTGACTCCACAATGCGGCACTTACCTCCCCGTCCGGAAGAGCAGGTATGTGG